GGTGCGCGATTTGGGCCGGTCGTGGCTCATCGCGGGAAGGAGGAGAGGAGGAGGAGAGAAGAGAAGGTGGGCTGGGCTGGCCTGCTGTGCCTGCTGGGCTGTGACCGCTCTGGGTCGGGTGCCTAATTGAGCTGGCCCATCGCGGGGAGAGGGAAAGGGAAGAGGGGAGAAGAGGAGGGATGGGAGGCGGGCTGGGCTGCGTTGGGTGGGCCCGGGGAAAGGGAGTTCACAGAATATGTTTTCCTATCTTCTAATTTCCCAGAAAATGTATATGTATCTATTTGCTTTTGTAAATAATAAATATGTAAAGTAACAATGCATATGTTTGTAAGTCAAGAAAAGATATGTGATGCATTATTCATGGTGTATTTCTAATTATCGAGAAATTATGAATTCCTAGTTAGCAAAATATATTTGTATTCGAGAGGTAGCTCTAAATATCTATGGAAATGTAACTATGCCATATTTCCTACCATGTATTATTATACTGGTCTAATTATTTAGTGCTTCTAAAGAAAAGGATTTTAATGATTCAAAAATGGAATTGGAAATTAGGGTGAGTGATTTTGGTGCCGCAAATAAATTCCAGGAGCAACCATACACACAAGCAATCAAGCAAGCATTCAAACATACATTCAAGCAAACAAAATGCAAGCAATGGAATTGAAATGCGAAGCGATCTTCTATTCCCATGGGTTCTTCCTAGCGCTACATCTAAATCCTACGCGACACACAAAATGCATATGGTGGGTTTTGATGCAGGGTTTTGGAAATATATATTTTCAAAATGGTTTTGTGGGAAAATAACTAGTTTGGGTTTTAATTTGTTGTAAAGTTTTTAAAAAATCAAATTTTTAGTGAATTTTAATATGATACTTGGAAAGGCACACGGTGTTACAGTACCACCCTTCCGTACATCAAGCTTTTTAGAACTTTTCTCAATCAAGGGTAACCAGTCAATGATATCCAGTCTACTTGGACTTATAGGCACACCCAAATACTTAATAGGAAAAGAACCACCTGACAGTTGAAAATTTCAGCATATGATTTGGCCCAGTTATTTTCATCATTAATGGTGAGAATTTCACTCTTGTGAAAATTAATCTTAAGACCAGATATAACAGCATTTTCAAGTTTCTAGCATCCCCAATACTGTGTTTGAGACAAATGATAGTATCATCAGCATATTGGAGTATGGCAACCCCTTTATCAACAATATGATCAATAAGGCCAGAAAATAGATTATTACTTTGAGCTTTATTCACCATTCTGGTTAACCCATCAGCAGCAAAATTGAATAAGATTGGGGATAATGGATCACCTTGTCGAACTCCTTTATAACTTTTAATATATGTGTCAATGGAATTATTCAATTTGACACTGACTGTTCCCACTGATACCACCTGTTGTATCCAGCTGCACCACTTAGGACAGAAACCCCTAGCAGCAAGACACTCGAAAAGACAGTTCCATTTAACCTTGTCGTTCTCATGATTCATTTAACGATGTACTTCTACAAAATGCGTTTGTGTGAAATTCTCTACTAATTAAAGGATAAAGGATGAAGATTCAGCATTTGTGCTCGTGGCATTCCAAGGTAAATATAGCCACCGTGTTGTCGTTTGCTCATGTTATGTTTAAAACGATTCTTGCTTCACTATGCTCATAGGGCCTGTTCGAGCTCCGGTTTCATATTGATGTCTTTCCAAAACCCACTCTCAATTCTTAGTTTTTGACAAGAGTGAAAAAAAAATCCCTGACAACTCCCTATCTCAACTCCCAATCTTTCTACACTTGGAAAAATCAACCCAATCGTGTAGAAATATATACGTGCGTATTGATTGGCCAATTTGTATAAGCCAATCTAGAGTTGGAAGGATGTGAGAAACAATAAAGAGTAGGACATGGTTCTTAATGAAATGTACAAGAGAGAAAAAATACAAGAGAGAAATAAAATATAAAAATAGGTACCGTGATTTGGAAATAGTCTAGAATTTCTGATTGTGTCTTCTATATTTTAGGAGTGTGTTTTTGAAAACTTTTGGAGGAACAAACAAAAATGCTTTTAACTTTTTTTAGTCACTTCAAAAACTTATTGATATACCAATTGTTTTTTTGAACTATTGGTGATGCTCCAAGTTGCCCGCGAGCTGCGAGGCTGTGAACCAAATAAGCCCTTGGTGCATCTCCAGAACCAGAAGTCCTGTTCTACCTCCTATAATTAAGCTGTTATTTGAGATGCTCTGAACTTGAGTGCAATTCGTAGTCTAAATTTTCTCCTCAAACTCTAAAACTAGACAAATTGGTTCCTTTGATTCTTAAAATTGTTTAAACTATCTTTTTTATTTTAGTTACACTTTTCAAGGTTGTTTTGTCATTTTTAAAATTAAAAAAAGATGGCTGATAAGTTTTTTAAACCACAAAAAATCTCTATGCTTAAAATTCTGGAAAAAAAATCTAGAAATAGATTGGGACACAATAGATCCAAATCAAATATCTATAGCTCATGAAAATATAACTAAAATCTTGAAGAAATTAGTTTCAGAATCTAAAAAAAAAGAAAATATCCAAAAAAAAAGAAAATTTTGAAAAACATTCTAATCCATGTCTAACTATGTTTTAAAATATTGCCACAGTAAAAAATATGAGATGCGACAACAATGAATGCATTCAACATTAATGTATTTGGATTCATGTTGGTTCTATCTCATATTTTTGCTATGTGGGGTGTTTTCAAAACGTGTTTGGATATTATTAGAATGTTTTATTAATTTTTCTGAATTTCTTGGATATTTTCCTAGAGCTAACTCTAATTTCTAGAAGCTTTAGATATGACTTCAGGATTACTATATACTTAATTTAGGTTCTCGTGTCCCAATCTATCTATAGGATTTTTCTTGAACATTTATAAGTTTAGAGATATCTTTTGTTGTCTAAAAACCTTATTAAATGTATACTAGGATTTTTTAATTAAAAATGACAAAATCATCTTGGAAGGTCACTTCTAACCGGAGCATGGAGTTAACTTGAACGGTTTTGAAAGTCGAAGGATCTATGAGAACTGCTCCCGTGCGCCACTTTTAGAAAATAGTACAAATCTTAATTATTAATTTTCATCTAGATCCCGTATGGGCCAGGCCCTAGCCTTACTCCCACCCGATGCGGTTTGGATCTCATATCATGCCATGCCTGCCTCTGAGGCTCCTCTCGTCTCTCGAGCGTAGCGGCGGCAGCTATTCACGACGGCGGCGGCCCCGCGGCACTGCCACCAAGTCGGCCAATGCAGAATGACGATACGTCATCTTCGCCCCTATCTCAATCTGTGCTCCCAATTCCATCGTGCCCCCTCACTCTCTCTCCGCAGTCACACAGACGAGCGATGACGACGGATGAGCACCAAACACGACAGTCAGCGTGCAAGCCGGTCCGCTGCCCTAGTGCCCTGCCCTCCATTGAGAGTGAGGGCATTCAGTCCGCCGCACACCACACACCTTCGCAGCCGCATCTCTTCTTCTTTTTTTCCCCACTATATGTAGTGGATCTGTGGGCTGCGATTATGTAGGAGGTGGGAACAAATGGCGTGTGAGGGCTTGGTGGACTGGAGGGGGAAACCCATCAACACAAAGGTTCATGGTGGAGTCCGAGCTGCATGGTATCTTTATTGTAAGCCCTTGTTTAGTTCGCGAAAAGTTTTCCCAAAAAGTGCTACAGTACCCGTCACATCGAATCTTGCGGTACGTGCATGGAGCATTAAATGTAGACGAAAATAAAAACTAATTGCACAGTTTGGTTGGAAATTACGAGACGAACGTTTTGAGCCTAATTAATCCATGATTGAACACTAATTACCAAATAAAAACGAAATTGCTACAGTAGCCAAATTTCGCACTTTTCGCGAACTAAACGCGCGCTAAGTTTATTTATTTGACTGCATGCGCCTCCGGCGTTACTTGTCAAATTAAATGGAGTCGATCAACACAGTATAGCTAGTTTGATTGTTTTTCTTCGTGTGTGTGTGTGATCGATTATGCTCATCGTTGTGAATTTCTTGGTGCACGTGCCAAACCTTCAGAATATGACAACGTATCTGCGTCAAGTAATGCATATGGGAGTATCTGATGCTTCAACCACATTAACCAACTTCATTGGTGCCATGTGCGGATTTGCTTTGTTGGGAGGTTTCCTCTCGGACTCCTACATCACTTGCGCCAGAACTATGCTACTCTCTGTGCCACTAGTGATTTTGGCATTTTCCAGCATCTTTTATTTTTACTACTATATATGTTTAACAGTATTGGTGGAAACAATATGTATATTATATTTAAGGTGTAAAGTCTATTATTAGATTATTAGATTAGGATCATCCTATAATAATTTAACAGTATTGGTGCATGCATTTCTGAACCAAGGGCTACGGGATTGCAGACACTTCCTTGGCTCCACCCGGCACCCTGCAACAACTCATCCGAAGCAGCAGCGGACGCAACAAGCAGAAGCAGCTGCAGGCAGGTCTGTCGGCCCGAGATCTTCCGCCCGGATGAACCGACCGTTCACCGGTGTTCTCACACACACTATGACTGGAAATAGAAAAGGGAGGAAGAACAGAGCGCACACACACAACACAAGCACCAGCGTTGGGGAGCTCTGCAGAGGAGATGGTAAAACTGAACTCACTCACTTCACTGAGTTGTAGTGGGAAGCTATATATACAACTCTACCCATCTAATCCTATTACACAAATATGCTAGGCTGCTACAGTGACTATATGTGACAGCAGGACTGACTTTGACGTCTGTCCCTATTGTGGCTACAGTGCGCGGTAGGGGAGACTTTTGACGCTTGCCCCTGCCACAGCTACATTGCAGCAACAAGGGTCCTTTCGACGCCTAGCCTGCTGCACGTACACAGTGAGGAGCAGCATATTACTTTACAAGGTCGATGGCTGGAGGTCCGCGCTGCTGTACATAGCCCTGTACACCATCGCGCTCGGAGAAGGCGTCATGCGCACCTGCATACCGTCCCTGGGCTCCGATCAGTTCGACGGCGACAACCCCTCGGAGGCTCGGCAGCAGTCGAGCTTCTTCAACTGGTTCACCTTCTGCCTGTCCATCGGGTCCGTCGCCGGCCTGATCCTCGTCGTGTGGCTCGAGGACACCAGAGGATGGGGCATTGGATTTGGCCTGAGCGCCCTCTTGATTCTCGTCGGGTTGCTGGTTTCTGCCGCTGGCCTCCCTTTGTACCGCAACCGTGTGCCTCAAAGGCAGCGCCCTAACCAGAGTCCTGCAGGTTGCTTGTATTGGACATGCTATCTCTCGTTTGATTCATGGCCGTAGCTGATTTGCAAATGTATATATATCAGACTCATCATCGATACTGTCTACTGCCTCCCAGGTTTTTGTTGTGGCGTTTAAAAACAGGAAGCTTGAGCTTCCTGAGAAGATGGAGGAAACACAGCAAAATAACAGCCTAAAGTAAGTGCTGCAGATATTCCTTTGATGCTATATTGAAATGAAAGCCTGCATATATACTGCAGAGTTTAATTTTTCTGTGGTCCACATGGTCTACATACGCATGCATGCGCATCTAAAGTTTTATTACATGCATGGTGTACCAGATTTCTGGACAAAGCCTGTGTGAAGACCAACACCGGAGGAGAAGGAGATGGACCTTGGTCGGTCTGCAGCGCGGCAAAAGTAGAGGAGACCAAGATCGTTCTACGCATGCTGCCTCTCGTCTTCAGCTCAACGGTGGCCCACGTATCGAGCTCTCTGCTAATCGCGTTCACCGTCCAGCAGGGCGCGACGACGAACACGAAGCTGGGGAAGGTGCACGTCTACCCCGCGATGCTCTTCATCGTCCCCTCCATCTTCCAGACGCTGATGCTGGTGGCCTACGACCGGCTCCTCATGCCGCTGCTGCGGCGGCGCACGGGCTACACGGGGGGCATCACGCAGCTGCAGCGCGTCGCCATGGGCTTCCTGGCCGCGTCCGTCGCCCCGGCCGTCGCGGCGGTCGTCGAGAGGAAGAGGAAGGGCACGGTGGCGGCCGGCGGCCACATCTCCCTCTTCTGGCTGGCGCCACAGTTCTTCCTGATCGGCGTGGAGGACACCACCGCCTTCGTGGGGCTGCTCGAGTTCTTCACCGCCGAGGCGCCCGACGGCATGAAGTCCATCGGCGTGGCGTTCTTCTGGTGCCATGCCGGGTGCCATGCCGAGATGGCCTCGCTGCTGGGCACGCTGCTGGTGAGGCTGGTGAACAGGGTCACCCACAGCAGCAGTGCACCTGGGTGGCTGGAGGGGAAGGACCTCAACAGCAGCCACCTTGATCTCTTCTACTGGGTTGTCACGGCTGTGTCATTTCTTGGCTGGCTCAATTACCTCTACTGGGCCAAGAGGTACAAGTACCGACAGGATCGACGGATTTCCACCAAGTCCCCCGATGAGGACGGCTATATGCCTTGAAGCATGGGTGGGTGCTACAGCGCTGAGGACGGCTATATGCCTTGAAGCATGGGTGGGTGCTACAGCGCTGATCGCATGCAACTGTCAACTGTGAATAGTACTCCTCTCCATCAAAATGATCTGTCTGTCTGTATCATGAGTTGCAAGACTACTCCTATATTAGAAGACCATGAATATGTTGTGTGTGCCGTGTTTGTTCGCCAAGGTGCTGAAAAAAGGCCTCATATTAGACATAGTATTTCTCTTCTTCTTTTTTATTAAAAACGCATCGGGCGGGGACAATAACACCCGCTTGGGCATCAGCTATGTAATACTCATGCAATTGACGCATACATGTTGGCAAATCTCTAATCTCCGCTTTGGTTTCGATCAAAGGTTTGCCTTTTTTATACTACTAGTGTTTTATAGTTCGAGGAGAAACTTTTTTTTTGAAACAGAGCTTTCATTACTCTTCGGTCACAGCCAAATCGCTGGACACAAACTCCTCGGTTCGAGGAGAAACTTAAGGCCCCGTTCGATGGTCTGAACTTGGTTGAAACTGGCTGAAAAAATCGTTGATTGAATTGTTGAGAGAAAAAACACCATTAAATTTAAAAAAAAAAAACTCCTCTGTTCGAGGAGAACATGGACTGTAACGAAAGCTGCAAAAGTGATTTTCCCCCCTTTCGGCAGGGTTGTTTGGACTTGGACCTGATTTCATGTGGGCCTGTAGCTCTTTCTGGGCCCAGGAAAGCAAGTGGCTCGATGATCAGCAGTCAGCACCGTGGATCGCCCAAACGGCCAGACGTGACTCTCCCCCCACGTGTCCCTTGCCCCTGTCCACCTGTCCCCTCCGGAGCTGCGTCTCGCGCTGCAAAGAGCTCCCCAGCTAACATTTCCGGCACCGGAAAGCAGAGTGACACTCAACACTCGACACTGCAGAAATCAGATTCGGAGCTTCCGGAAAAAAAGGCAGGCAGTAGCGTCGACCATGCTGCCAGGTCGCCACCCGGCGCGCCGTGCCGACACCGCCGGGACGGGGCCGCTCCTGCCGGACGCCACCCGCGCGGCGGTGGCGGAGTTCGTCGCCACGGCCATGTTCGTGTTCGCCGCTGAAGGCTCCGTCTACGGCCTCTGTACGCGAACCTGAACACGCATGCAAACAAACAACTTTTAGGATTTACGTGCACGCACGCACGCATTCGGTGCTGTTCTGAACTGCGACGCTTGACGATTTTCCGTTCGTCTGATTTGCAGGGAAGCTGTACAAGGACGACACGGCGACGCCGGGCGGCCTGCTCGCGGTGGCCATCGCGCACGCGCTGGCGCTGGTGGCCGCGGTGGCGGTCGCGAGCAACGCGTCGGGTGGGCACGTCAACCCAGCGGTCACGTTCGGCCTGCTCGTGGGCCGACGCATCTCCTTCGGGCGTGCCGCCGTCTACTGGCTCGCGCAGCTGCTCGGCGCCGTGGTCGCGTCGTTGCTGCTCACGCTCGTCTCCGGAGGCACGGTAATTCGCTTTGGCCATGTGATGTGCCCATGTCAAATACTACTGTTTTACGTTTGATTAAATATCCTTCAAATTTGGTAAAATATGTCATAAAATATTTTAAGCGGTTGCTTGGCTTACCGATAGTGCCAAACGCCGAAACACCAGAACAGCACGTCAATATTGAGGTCACACTATCCGTTGTCTTTTTCGTCTTGCGTGTTTGCCGCGTACTTGTACGCGTCATGCCCGCCACGTCTCACTCTTTGCATGCATGTGTGGCATGCCTTTGTCCTGCAGCGCCCCGTGGGCATCGGGCTCGTCCGCGGCATCCACGAGCGGCACGCGCTCCTGCTCGAGGCCGTCATGACGTTCGGGCTCATGTACGCCGTGTACGCCACCGCGGTGGACCACCGGAGCCGGGGCGGCGCGACGACGGTCGCGATCGCGCCCCTCGCCATCGGCTTCGCCCTGGGCGCGAACATCCTCGCCGGCGGCCCGTTCGACGGCGCGGCGATGAACCCGGCGAGGGCGTTCGGGCCCGCGCTCGTCGGCTGGAGCTGGCGCCACCACTGGGTCTACTGGATCGGGCCACTGATCGGCGCCGGGCTGGCTGGCGCGTTGTACGAGTCTGTCATGGTTGAGCAGGAGCCTGAGGCGCCGGCAGCGGCAGCTCCTCGGATGCCTGTTGCCTCTGAGGAGGACTACTGATGTGATGAGATGTACTGTACTCCTATCGTTTGTATATTCACTGTATCTGTATCTGTATGTGTACGTACGCGAGCAGCAAAAAAAAAAAAGTTTTACATGGAATTGAGCCAAGCACAGCTCCAGAGTCCAGATAGGACTTTCGCAGAGCACAGATCCAGACCTGTAGTTTTGATGATCCTTGCCTGAACATGACACTATGGATTTTAATTTTTTGTCAGATATTTTTTTTTTCGTTTGTAATACAATAAATAAAGCGTATAGCATATGTTTAGTTCATATAAAAGACAAAGTCGACACTACAATAGAAAAATATACCAGTGATCTAAGTGTTGTTTAGATCACATAGAGTTGTTTGGCTCTCGTAAATGGTTTTCATTCCAAGCCATATGTGTCCTTATGTATTCCAAGTAGATCATATCCAAATCAAATAAAACAATTGGGAGGATATTATCAGTATTTTTTTCTGCAACAACACAAAAGCTTTGGATCCCATTCAAAACTAAAATATGAATGTGCTTTATAATTGGAAGGCTATGGTTAATATTTTTCATCTAAAAGAATGCAACATCACAAAATATTATAACTTATTTCAAATATGCATTGAATTGGTGTGAATGCTAATCTAGTGAGGACCCATTTGCTTAGCTTTTATTGGTATGCATTTAAAGTTTTACTCCGGATCATTGTTGGACATATGTTTAGGAAGTTTGTATTACTGCCATCAAGAGGAATGATAACTCACACTAGTCAAAAGAGCAGTTTTGCATGATTTATAGGCAAATCATTTATGCATTCTAAATTTATTGTTACACTAGTCAAAATGATAGTTTCACATGATTTTTAGGCAAATTATTTTGGTGTTCTAAATTTGTTGTTGACTATATAATTAAGATAATGCTACCAACCACACCATAAATAAAAGCAATACAAACGTATACCAATTTGAACTAATTGATTGTTGGCCATATCTTTAGGAATTTTCCATAGTTGGGTCACAATAAATGATACAAAGTCATGCCAACTTTGTGTTGATTACAATTCAATAGTTAATATAATTAGCTATCTAATTTATCAATAATTATACCATTTCTATCAAATAAAAATGCGTTCAACTTGCTCTATGCATGGAAATAGGTATTGCATATTGTGTACCGTAGGGTCCACCACAACGTGAAGGTCCAGACTATTGGAAATGAATGTTGCTAATATAGTGAAGAACAATTTTGTATTTGTTTAAGTGATGTATTTAGATCCATGGTTCATTTGATTGTTGTCCATACATTTGGGAGTCCATATTATTATGCCAAAGAGAAAAGGAATGATAGCTTACATCAGAAAAGAGAGTAGTTTCACATGAAAAAAATTTATAACAAAGCATCAATAATGCAATATGTGAACAAGGATATCATTGTTTACAAAGAAGTGTAGTAGGGATCCTATTTTCATTCAAGTTTTATAATGTATTTTGGTTTCCCCGAGTGTTATTATGCCTGGCAATGTGTGGCTTGACAAATATTCTAAGTCATTGCTCAATCTAAACTAAATTGACATAATGTTTTGATGCAAATTATATTGAGTGAAAGTAAGGCATTGTGTGCATAGTGCCTAGATGCATAAGCACAACTAGATAACAATAAACTCATCTAGAACTTTGAAGAGTCACATAAGAATGTATCAAGTATGATATCCTAATGATTAAGCTCCAACGATACACACTAAACCATCACCAGTAAGCATTAATAAAAGGAAAATGGAAACAACTACTACAATCCTTCACGGCACGCGGAGAGGTGTTAAAAACAGCACAATCATCAATGACTATGAACTTGTTGATTAGTCTTGTTCATGTTATTCATTTGGAGGAGTATCTTTGGGAAAAGTAGTTGAAGTCGTGGTGGTGGATGTTGTGCTCCTTCAGCCACGACTGTGCCGCATCGAAGAGAGAGGAAATATGTTCTTGGTCACCAGAGTTTGGACTAGCCCACGCTTCGGCATCTAACTTGTATGTTGCAAGGCCGAACGGGGCAAGTGCCATATGATTGAAGGCTTGCACACTATCTAAAGCAACAATATCTACAAGAATGTGTGACAATGTCATGCTTTGTCCAAAAAATGTTTACTAAAACAAAAATATTATACATTTCATCTTCCACATAACATGGCAAAACAAGATTTTATTGCTATATGATATATTATTGTTGGAATGGAAATGTATAGACAATATATATGTTGCTTTACAGAAAAGGTAATGGAAACAAAACATGTGTTGGAGGAACTTTAGGTCTTAATAGATTGGCAATAAAGAAGGAAAATACGTGTGACTATAAACATAAAAACACACAATCAACCACTGATTTTTTATAAAAAAATCCATAGAAAGAAAGAAAATAAATATTCCTTATTACTACCATTTATAAGTGTTGCATACCTTTGCATGTTGAAAGGGTATGGTAGGTCAAAAAGCAAGTATTTAGATCTTTTTGATTCTTCACAGGGACACGACTTGTTGGATACCTAGAGGACAATAGAAGAAAGTAAAATCATGGTCATTATTTAAGGGAATTCCATATATGTATAAATATTTATATTTCAAGATGGAAAGTAAGTGATTATGAAAAGTTACCAAAAAACCGACATCCAACTTGATGGTGAGAGCTCTGCACTGCTCAAAGATGATAGGGAAGGACAACCATAGCATAGATCATACACCTAAACACAAGATAAGAAATGCAAATAAGAAGATCATAAAAATAGGGAATTTCATGGACCACTAGAAAAATTCACATTTAAGTTTAACTCCACCTGATACTTTAGAGTTTTGCATGTGGCTTTGCTAAAGAGACAACGGGCATGTTCGCTTGTGATTGTTGTAGCAACCGCTATGACTGCTATTGTAGCATTCACTTAGCAGTAACTGTTGCCCCACCCTTTACAACCCAAGCAGCCGTAGTTATGGGCCGGCCCATCTGTACGAAACACCCCCATCAACCTCGTGACTTTTCCTCTTAAAAAAGATGTATCTAGTGATCGTAGGATCAAGATCAAACGGGCTCATCCTTGCGTTGTTCTCTATATATACGGCCCTCCCCTTCTATCGTCTCTACCTTAACCCTAACCACTCTTCCGCCGCCTCCACTCTACCCACATGTTATCTACCCAAAATTCCCCAATACAGGAAGGATTGTCTGCTACACCTATGGCTATCTAAGAGATAGATGATGGTGTCACTCATCGCCGTATCCCACGATGACCATCGTCTTCTTCACTTGCTATGGTGAGTCTTCCACCTCTAGAATCAACAACCTTTTTATGAAAAGCACCACTTGGTGCGGCCTTCACAGGAGGTCAAGTGCGGCCGTGTGGGACGGGGGATCGAACCCCCACCGGCCAACTCCTCCCTTGGAGCCTTCACCACTGGTCCAAGCCTATCTAGATCCAACCTCTTGTTTTCCCACAATCCTTTAATTTCTCTGTGCTCCACCAGATCAAAGCTAGAAACACAATATCCCTTTTGTTGTGCCCCCATCTTAAATCAAACTCTTTGTTATGCAGCGCCTTTGCTTCCTCTGCACTCCCTTGGACCCAAGATAGCTATATTGTTATCGATGGTGTTGAACCTTGATCTAAATTTTAGTCCCCTCTAGCCTCAATTGTCTATACACTTACGTCGATCCAAGCTGGTGATGTCATTTCCATTGATGCCTACCTTGATCTAGAATTTCATTTTCCCCAATCACTCTTTGTTGTCTTTACACCACCAAATCCAAGGTACCAACATCATTGCTAGAGATATGTAGACTTATTCTTTCTTATTTGGGAAAACAAATCTTGCGGTAGATAAATATAAACATCTTAAATTCAGTAAAATCATGTATGCTAATAAATTTCTCTTCCCATTTGATATATGCAGGGGGAGTTGTGCATGTAGAAAAGTTTGAAACATGTGGATGACATAGAAGTTGCTAGATATAAAGCTATTGGATCTACATACGCTGCAAGAGGGTATCTTTCAAGTATTTAGAACCTGATTCAACTTATGAAAGGATGCCAGACAAGGTATCTTAAGTGGTGTTCATATCATAAAGTGTGTAAATTTTGGAAAACATGAATGTTAGAAGTAAGGGGAGTTCAAGCATACCTTATCTACGAAAGGTATCCTTTCGTAAGGGGAGTCAGGTTCAAAATACTTGAAGAACAACTCCCCCTTGCTTTCAACTCCACTAGTGGACATGTTTGATGGTGCTTGATATCCATGAGTGTCCATCCAGTTTAATGCACCATATTGGTTATCCTGATTGAATCTTCCATCATATAACATGCTGCAACCATTATGCCATAAATGATCATGTAAGCAACATTGGTACTTTAATCTTTCCTTTTTATTTTTTCAATTATGTAAAAAAGTTTTATGCAGATACTAGTACATGTATACTCGTGCGTACCTTTGTGAAGTAGGAACATTTGTCATGTTGGTGTACAATTGAATTGCCGAAAGGTATGGCACGAAGTATTGGACCACTGTCTCACCCGGAGCGATGCACACTGAAGTACCAACACCACAGGCACTCCACTCATAGAACCTATTCCAAAGATCACCAAGGTAGAAAGCTTTGACTCCATCTGCAATCTTTTCATAATAGCCATTTGACTGCAATTACAAATAAGAGTTCAATTTATTTAGCTATCATGTCTTTAGATAAAAAAAGATGCATCATATCCCGAGTAAATTGTGTCCCTCATAAAAAAGGAAAATAATTGGATTTCATAGCTCTAGTGAATCGTTGTACATGAGACTATGTGAACACAAAGGTAAGCAAATGTCCTTGTTAATGGAGTTTTTTCCCTGTGATAATTTGAGAATGTGTGTGTTGTGGGGGTGGGGTCGAGGGTGAATCAATTCTAGTCAATCCCTATTTTGGAAGTTTCTATTAATTATGTAAGCAAGAAACATATTTTTTATTTGTTGGGTGGGTGGTTCTTTTTTTTGGGGGGGGGGAGGGTAGGTGGGAAGTGGTGGTTTGAAATATTGAATTATTGTACTGCATAGTCAATCTAGAAGAGATTCTAATCATTACTTAATGCCAGTTTTGTTCCCTGTTGAACAAAAGAGGTTGTGAGGTATAAGGTCCTTTGTGTTGGGATCTACCTATAGTATGATCTAAGTGTTAGTTTTGGCTTGAGGATTTTTGTGCGAGAAGGGAAAAATATATTTTAGCTAGAAAAAGAAAACAAAAACACTAAATCTGGAAGAAAATTCTTAGGATTTACACAAACTAGGGCTCTAATCATAACCGTTAATTCAAATTATTGTGCAACTAACCATTTATAAACGGTCCACAACATGATATCCTTATAATGACATAACGGATAGTAACCGCCCCGCAAATATACTTCGCGCCTAAAACATTTTGAACCTAAGCTTTAGACACAAATCACAGGCGACACTAGCAAGCCCACGAGGTAACATAAACAAAAACCAACATATAGCATATATAAATAAGAGACATAGTCTTGCCATGGCGAATAGTTTTCGCCCTTACAAGTCCATAGGCACAAAACCCTAATTCTACCCACATAGTCCTTGCACGCCATACCAAGATCAAACGAAAGATGCAGTATATCCGGACCAAATCAAAGAAAGTAGAGAGAAAGGGGAATCCAAAATCCAGCAAAACCACAATCTCACAAGATGTGAAGATGATAGATTCATCGAAGCAAAATTTTACAAGCTAGTTCAAGATGTGTTTACCAGTGGAAGATAGGATGCCATAGGGACCGTGTGCGCCTTGACCACCGGCGTAACACTGCCAAGAAAACACCTCAGATTGGAGTGGGTCCCCGCAGCCCCGTCAACAGTAGCATGAGTGCTCGCACTGGAGCTCGCCATCTATCTCTATTCGTGCCCGAAATTGCCCCAGCTACAGTGCCTCTGGTCCAGCTTTTGCATCTGCAGACTTCAGAGTTCAGAGGGGAGTGGAGGGGCTAAAGCTACGCCGAACGGAGATGTGGTTTTTTCAGGGGCGAAGGAGCATTTTTGCGAATGTCATCATTGTTTTCCAAGCGAATTGTGCTATCTCTTAATTACCTGCCGACTCCAAGGATGTGCTAGCTCTTAATTACCTGCCAACTTTATGCCCTTTACCCATTGGTTTCCTTGCCTTTGGCCATGGCAGTTGGCGTCTTGGAGATATTGCTGAAGTGGCTTTTTTTGTGCATTATTTCTTCCAAATTTAGTTTTTGCATTTTATCATTTTCTGAAACGAGGAGGCGTGACCACTGTCTTTGTCGACATACGTGCTCGGAACGTGCAGTAGCACCAAACGCTCCACTAGAATTAAGGCTATATAAGCCATGATCTTCTCTTCTCTTTTTTTGTTTATACGAAAAAAAAAATGTGACATGGTAAGGACCATGACACTGGATCAGGACGTGCTTTGTTGTTCGCGTGACTTGCCATGCGTGTGTCTTGTGTTCGTGATACGTGAATAGAACCGAAAGTAAAATGCGTCAAGCTTCAAGGAGAGAATGCTTATACGGCTACGCCGCCTGATCGCCGCGCTTGGCTTGCTTTTCCTTTTGTTGCCTTTCTTTTTTCTTTTCTTTTTGAGAGCCATGGGGTTTTCTCTGTTGTTTTCTAGAACTGTTTGAGCACATACCAACCCCGTTAGCTTTCTGATGTATCTACGTGGCTCATCCCTCACTAAGTATACAAAGTCATTATTTTATTATTACTATTAGTTACTCCCTGGGTCCTATTTAATAATATATCTAGAGATTTTAAAATATATTAATAGACAATATAAAATATATGCATGTACCCTTACTGTATTTACTGATCAAACACTATCATCAGCGTGATAAATAGAAATGATCTGATAAATGGCAAGCAATCTACTGTTTATGCAACTATTTAGTACAAACAATTCTTCTATCCCTAAAATACCTTGTATTTTGATGCATTTTTAAAATGCTTGTATATACTATAATACAAGAGCGAGTAGCACAAATGGTATTCTGAACTATTATGTAGTATATTATATAGTAGAAACGCATCTGCTATCTTCTATTGATTCAAGTAACTTGAGGATAGAAAGATGCGTCAATAGAAGTAGCGAAGGAACTAGGAAGCTTCCTACTCATACACGATGTGTGAACAAGTGGAACTGTAGATGTTGCTATCCGCACCGCGCATCCGCAGGCGCAGGCGGCTGATGTGCAAGAAACGGAAACATGCAGCGGTGAGAGCAGAGATAGAAAAAAGAGAGAGCAGAGATAGAAATACTTTTTTTAAATTAAAATAAAAAAAAGACCAGAGCTAGAAATATCTACAATGGGCTAAGTACTAACGGGTAAATAATCTATCACTAGCTCTGTGTCTTACCAGGAGCAAACACAAATCGAAGAATCCCATCATATAAGTATTATCGTCATTTAATTTGACCAAAATTCAGAAAAAATGACTTCATAACACATGTTTGTGTCAATTTATATTAAACTCCATAGTTGCAATGCAAAAATACATATAAGTATGGCCACCACACGAATGAATGCACGAGAAACCATGGGCAGAATGGATCAGGTACCTACGATTCTTCTCATTTTACTATGTACATATCCTATCTCCTCCATGGCTCCATAGCAGCTCAAAATGCAGGTATTTCTAGCTATGGTCATGGAGGAGATAACATGTTAGCATTTCAACTCAAAACTCAAACATAGTATTCTGGGAGGAATATAATTTTCAAAACTGTAAAAATTATGATACCAACACAGATAAACTAGGTCATACTTACTTTTTAACATCTATTTGAAAATATTTTTGAAGCCATTCGTTTTGGACAAAAAGATAAAAAAAACTATAGAGATACCACCTTATCTAATGGCGGTAACCAACTTTCATCCACCAACTCAACTGGATGTATATGTACTTCTTACCGCAATACCAGTATACCACTGTACCATTTGGCGGCAATTTAACCGAGTCAATCTCGGCAGCAAAATTATATATTTGCAAAATCTATATCTATATATATACACCTAAAAAGACTTTAAAGTAATCATCTACCCGGTAATACTAAATTCCACCTATCCGTATAGCACCTGGTCTGCCACGCACGTCAAACTTGTGGGCAAAAGGACACGTCAAACTTGTAGGCATAAAGGATTACCGGGTGGGAGTACGTGTCGGAAACGAGCTGGGCATCGACGGGATTACAGGGTGGATGGAGCGAGGCGACGCAGACTGCTAATCTTGCAACCGTGATCCTTGCACGTTCAGGTTCAGCATGTTTCCTTTTTTCTCTTAAGGTCTACTCCTACTGAGCCGACAGCCAAGCGCGGTTACTAATCTAGAGATCACGTCGTGTGATACATGATGTCATGCACTTAACGTAGTTTGCTTCCATCCAGACTCTCAGGAAGAGAGAATCTGGTCCCATCACGGTAACTTTTTATTATTTTGTAAAAATGATGCAATCTGTCATTCTTGCCTTGTTCGGCTGATCAGATTTTGGATGATTTAATAGTATTTTGTGAGAGAGAATAAACTGAAACGAACTGAGAACTGAGCAGCCGAACGGGCTTGTGCTTCCGACGTACGGGCATATATCTAGTTATATATTATTTTTCAAGAAAAACAAATATGGAAAATATAGATATAGAAATAAAAAATCACCTCGGTGGAGAGCGGGGAGGATATGAAGGCGTAGAGGTCGGGCCCGAGGAGTGCCAGCTCAGCCCACAGCCCACAGCCCACGTCCCACGGCGCACGGTCCAGAAGCGGAACACCCGCGTCTGCAGCTGCTCGGTCGAGAGGCCTGAGGCCAGGAGCCCGCCCATCCGAAGCGGCCTCGCGCTCGGGGGCTTCGAAGATGGACCGAACCTTCTCAAACCAGGCACGAACTCTGTCGGTCTGGGCCGAGATCGGCTGGCCCGCTAGCCCCGACTCGCGCGACCGCGGGCCTGCGGCGCTGCGCCCGCTGCCAGCTGCCCTGCTCCATCCAATCACGGATCCATATCCACCGTCAAGCTCTTTGCTCGATTCCGCGTACTGCAAGGAAACTTCTCGAATGGTCGAACACTGGTTTGGAGGCGTTTGCTCGCAATCCATGGCGACTTCTACGGCTGCTGCCACTGCTCTGCTCCGCCCCAGCAGGCCGGCAGTTCCAGCCAAGGTAAAACTGTACATCATCAAGCTTAGTAGAACAGGAACCCTCGTGTACTTCCCCACGAGGTTAACTGTCGCTTGTGGTTGGCGCAGCGGTGTCTCCATGCAGTTGCTGGGCGGACGACGACGAGAAGGAGGAGGGGAGCTGCAGGGGTCATGCGAGCTTGCTTCAACCCTCTTGGGGACGAGCGCATCCTCCGAGAAGCCATCAAGGTAAATTTTCTACACCTCTGTCCAGTCCTTTTCTTAACCCAGGATTGGGGATTGCTCCAACTTGTTCATTGTATACGTAGTTTCTTGTGTGGATATGTGAAATTGGCCATTCAATCCGACTGTGCGCTTGCAAAGTTTATCCTGGAAAGGGGGACGGGGAGTTTATGCAACAGTCGAAAAATTCAGTGTTGTTTCAGTGTAGATTTACTCTTGATTAAGCTTTTCAGTGGCCATGCTTTAGGCGAAACTAACGAAATTGAAACCTAGACTTGATATTTAGGCGTACTGTTTCATACTTCACTGTCATTTGGTTCTCCCAATCTCATCAACTTTGGGAATCAGAATGCTTTGCGGAAATGGAAATTGCAGAGGTGGTTTCAGGAAGAGTAGCTATTCATCAAACAATACTAATACGTTCTTCAGTCTAGAATTTTCTTTTCGTGCTCGTCGGAGCAAGAACAGATGATGATGTTCTAAATGCACTGTCTGTAGGAGCCAGTAGCACTCATGGGTGGTGTGTTTGCTGGCCACTTGAGGCTTGACCTGAACGAGGATCCTCTCAAGGAATGGATAACTCGTACAGTGGAGGCTTCTAGAATAGCTGAGGAAAACAGCTCTGAAGAATCAAGTGAGGCAGATCAAAATGATGCACCTCAGCAAATTGAGATTGAGTGAGGTGCATTGTCTACCTTTTGTCCACTTGACACTTTCCCTTTGTAACTTATCCTGAATATCTGTGATACCTGAGTCATCATGTGCTTGCTCAAATTTTGTTTGGGCTTATATTGTTCTTAGTCAAATATTGGATCAATTGGTAATATCAAACATTGGGTCCTGGTTTTGTTCTACCACTCCTGTTTCATAATATGAAGCCCCAGTCCCCTAGACATGGTTAAGCTTGGCCATTAGTAGAAAAATACAGTGTACTACCAGTAAATGGAAAGTTATATGTGTGAATGAAATGCAAGTCTAATGGCATTATTTTTTTTACAGCTAACTCCACAGAATGCACCGATTCATTTCTCAAATTTTGCAAACTTTGACTCTTGTGATGTGTTGGGGCATTATATTGTTAAATGGAGGCAGTCGTTAGCCAACAATAAAATGAATTTCACTGATACATGTATTAGGAGGTAGTTGGATAATCAAACATTATTTCGTGTTTCTACACTGACTGGTGTAAGTGGTAAGGACCTGAAGTCAATTCTTGCCTGCAGTGCTGCTTTATTAAAAAAAAACAGAGAAAGGATATTTCTGTCCTTGTTCTGTTGCTGATATTAGAACAGTGTATTGTTCACCTCGGCCTTGTTTAGATAGCTGTTAGGAATCAGTATCTGGCACTGTAGTATTTTCGTTTGTATTTGACAATTATTGTTCAATCATGGCCTAACTAGGCTCAAAAGATTCGTCTCATAATTTACAATCAAACTGTGTAATTAGTTATTTTTTTATCTACATTTAATACTCCATGCATGTGTCTAAAAATTTGATGTGATGGAGAGAGAGTGAAAAAACTTGGAATCTAAACAAGTCCCTCGTGTATCCATTGGCTTCAAGTGAAGTTTTAAGTTACATCCGTCGAATACTTGAAATGGAAGATACTAAGAACAACCTTCAAGTGACATGTAGAAAGGATCTTGCAGGGCTTTTTGGTGAATAGGATTTAAGTGGACATCACATCCGAATTTGGAGTTTCGAGTACTTATGGCTTACTGAAAGTGCAGTGTATTAATTTATGAATTTGGAATGTTTTGGACACCGTTTATAGAGGATTTAACTGAATATTCAAATGGAGCAGTCTGCTATACTAACTACACTTCAAAATAATAGAAAAAAGAAATCAGCTTTGTGTGTTCCATATAAACAACTTCTATGGAGCCCCGCTGCCTGGACGCAGCTTTGGTTGCATACTACAAGAAAATAAGAGATACATACTTTCCTCTGGAGATCTCAAACTGAAATAAAGTTTAAACAACAACAATAACAACAACAATATAGCCTTTCAGTCCCAAATAAGTTGGGGTAGGTTAGAGTTGAAACCCACCGAGAGCCCTAAGTCACGGTTCAGGCACTTCAATAGCTGCTTTCCAATTACTCCTATTTAAACATAGATATCTAGTTATATCCTAAGCTTTCAAATCTCTTTTATTGCCTCCTCTATGTCAATTTTGGTCTTCCTCCATCTCTCCTCATATTATTAGCTTGGCTTAGGACTTCACAATGCACTGGTGCCTCTGGAGGTCTCCTTTAGACATGTCCAAACCACCTCAACCGATATTGGACAAGCTTTTCTTCAATTGGTGTTACCTCTAGGCTATCACGTATATCATCGTTCCGAACTCGTTCCATTCTCGTGTGACCGCAAATCCATTGCAATATACGCATTTTCTGCAACACTCAGTTGTTGAACATGTTGAATCTTTGTAGGCCAACATTCTGCTCCATATAACATAACCGATTTAATCGTCGTTCTATAGAACTTGCCTTTTAGCTTTTGTGGTAACCTCTTGTCACAGAGAATGCCAGAAGCTTGTCGCCACTTGATCCACCTTGCTTTGATTTTATGGCTAACGTTCACATCTTCCTCCTCTTGTACAACTTCGCCAAAGTCGCATCTCATGTATTCGGTTTTAATTCTACTCAATCTAAAACCTTTAGACTCAAGGGTCTGCCGCCATAACTCTAGTTTCCTATTTACTCCCGCCTGGCTTTCGTCCACTAACACTACATTATCAGCGAACAACATACACCAAGGGATATCCCCGTGTATGTTTCTGGTAACCTTATCCATTACTAAGGCAAAGAGATACGGGCTTAAGGCTGACTCTTGATGCAGTCCAATTTTAATCAGGAAGTAATCTGGATCTTAGCATTTCCATTACATGATTTAGATAGAATTTGTCAACAATATAGCCGAAATCTTTGAGTAAACAAAGGTGCCTTGGACAGATTTTTGTGGGGAGAAAAATGTGATATGTTCTTGGTGGCAAAAAGAACCAGAATTCTTTGGAAAACTAAAGGTTACAAGAAAAGTATCATTTCTTTCACTAATGTATTGCATATTCCTGAGGTATACTCGGTTATAATTTTTCTTTTGAATGCTAGTAACTGTTTAACTTGTTATGTCCTACTCTCTTGGTTTTTTCTAGTATGATGCTACGTGTTTAAGCAACCTCTGTGCTTCAAGACAGTGGCCCTATGATGTCTAGTGTCCCGACAAATTACCTGGTTAAGGCGCAGGTAAAAAATATGTTTCATATTTGCATGGAAACAATATTAGGAGTTTAATGTAGATATGTCATGCACAAGAACCGAAAGATTGGAGCTCTTTTTATATTTAATATGGTAAAACTATTCAGGATTGTAAACATGAAATGATTGATGTGGTAGATGACATTTCCTAGCAAAAACATAGAAGCCAATGCAATAAACTATTTCAGGTCTTCACTCTGCATGAGAAATATTCTAAAGCTTCTGTTTTCACATCGACCATCAAGCATGAGTATTTTTTTCTTTCTCTAGAGTCACATAGAGATTAGAAATCGGAAGAAGTAAGGAAATGGTATTTACCTTACCCATGTATTTGCGTCTCCGTGGCGTACACCCATGAAATCTGCATTGAAGCCATCAGCCATAAATTTAGTGGTAAGTTTAGGTACAACATCTCTGGAAAAAAAACAATTTTGGAATAAAAATAGTCAATTTGTGAACTATGATGAGGCATCTGAACTTGGTTGAATATTCTAAATCCATACAGAAGCAATTAATTAACTATTTCCAGATCTTAACATCTACCTTCTTCATTTATACAGAATGTTTAATCTCTTGTTAAAATAAATATATAATTGTTTCATAATCCACAAGATCGTGCTACCTTCCTGCTAGAAGCTTGAGCTACAAAAGGTACTCTATCTGTAGACAAATATATCAATGAGAAAACTATTCTATAAAGGAACTCAAACATGTAGATAAATGTTGATTTATAGTCTCGACACAGGGTGAAGCCAGAACATAGCAACATGTACCATTTAAGTATCAAATCAAATTTGAGTTTCATCGAATTAAGACATGAATGTATCAAATAAAATGTTTAAGACCATGTGTGCTCTTAGGAGGCTTGCAGCCTGCTTGGCGGGTGGGACTGTGCCACCCTCAGCCCACGACAACTGCAGCCGAAGTGTAGAAAGCAATCGCCTCGCGCTCACCGCCGCCTCGGGAGGGAAGGGGAGAGAGGGAGAGTAAGGGGAGGGAGGGCAGAGGAGGAGGAGGAGGAGGAGGAGGATGGGCGCTGCCGCCGCGGAGGCAGTGGGCAGCGTCGTCGTTGGCCCACGGTCCTCCACCATGGCACCAACGGCCATGGCCTCCGAAAGGTTGTTGCCTGCACAGATCGGACGGGAGGACAGATGGATCAGGCCATGGAGGCACCGGATCCGCCAGATCCGCCAATTTGGGCGTCCGCTAGCAAGGAAGACAGATCCGACAAGCCTACATCGACGTCCGTCCCCGGTGCCGGCGAGGGAAGGGGAGGGGGAGGAAGGGAGAGAGCGAACCTTAACCTGCGCAGCGGCCGGGCAGTAGAGGGCAGTGGCCAGGCCTCACGCGGAAGTGCCGGCGGCGGCGGCGGCCTGCCGCCTGGCTCTGCTGCAAGACTGGCTGCCATCGCCCTGGCCGCATCGGGAGAGAGAGGTAGCGAGTGGAGAGGAGAGAGGGGGGAGGGCACGGCGTGGGGGTGTGGGGGGAGGAGGGGGCGGCTGCAGCTGCTCCGGCCGGGGCGTGCGCTCCGTGCACCGTCGCCATGGTGGCATGGATCGAGAGAGGGAGGAGAGAGAGAGAGAGAGCGGAGAGGAGGAGGGCGTCAGGGAGAGCCGGCGAGGGTTTCGTAGCGGGGTCGAGGTACTGTAGCGAGCGGCGGAGACAATACGGACCATCGATTGCTAAATCGGACGGCCAGGGGAATTTGGGGCGACGTGGCCACCCTGAGCGGTGGCCAAACCTTCCTGCTTTGATATATAGAAATGATGTAAAACTCTGATGCGTCAACATTCTTGACTCAAGATATGTATCACTATCATCCTCGAATTGGAGTAAAGCTCACTATTTCACAAATTTAGATTAAGGGAGGATAATCTATTAAGCAGTCCTCTTTTGGCCCCGTTCAGCTTACCTTATAATCCGCACTATTCAACTTGTTTTTTCAGTCGGAACAATGTTTTTTTCACAATAATTCAACAAGAACAGCAGCCAATTCAGCCAAGTTCGAGTCGAACGGGGTTACTTGTGCGAGAAAGGTATCACTTCGTATGAGGCTGGCGGATCTCGTCTTGCCTCCTGCTTTCTTGTTTCTGGGATACTCTTTGCATCCCCTTTTCTTGCAGTGATAAATATTATCCATCTCATTCTCTTCCTCACATGCCTTTGTGTATGCATCTGGAAAGTTAGCTCGCCACATTTCCCTCAATAACATGCTGTTTGATTTCTCTTGTCACTGATTCATTTGGAAATACATCAATGGTTTTGACACATTTGTAGGAATGTTTGGTACTACATACAGTACATGCACGATTCCCAAGATACATGTTTGACCAGACTTTGGTTGTGGTATAAAGTTTAAGGTACCTTCCAAGACAAATTTCCGTTCATCATTTTCATGTGTCCAGTGTACTTAATTCAGGCTA